CCTAGCAATAATACGGACAAGACGTACAAAAGGTTATTAGAGTCATACGACACGGTAATATTATACGCATAATGGACAAGATGTAAAGGTGGACAAAGTTAATGAGAAATGATACTCTTTGTACATTTTTTTATGATGTTAAATTTCCGACAAACCAGGAGATCAATTCGAGCTTGAACGATCCGATTCGTACGCATAACACGATTCTTCGTTGTTGTGGAATTTAAAAATCAATCTTCTCGTCGTAAATGTTTACTCGTGTAAGTAACAGAGATAAACGATTATATGGTACACCTGGAAAGTACTATAGATAGAAATCTATCTGTGTTGTGTTTCTATACGTAAAGGTAGAAAAAAGGTTGGATCAAATAACAACAATAACAACAACAACAACAACAACAACAACAACAACAAGTATTATGTAGAAAAAAATGTCCAATATTGTCGATGTTTCATTCCTAATGCCTCTCAAATCCGTTACTAGTAACGGTAATAGGTGAATAAACGAAGAAACAAAGCGATCTAAAATAATGTTTTCTTCCTCGACAGAGAGAAAAAAAAAAAAAAAGAGAAAAAAAAAGGTAGAAAATTGGAAGCTAAATTAAGATGGCGATAAAAAGTAAAAAATATCGTACAACATCCATCCAATTGGACAACAATTGTCCACGTTCGATAATCGTATTGGAATGGACATCTCTGTTTTTTATTTTAATGTCCCCTTTTCGGATCGAGGCGGGACGATTTAAAAATAGAGTTGTTCATTCCCATGATAAATCCGTTTATAGATATTTTTTAGTAGATATATATAACAATATACGTAACAGAATGTTTTCATTTCAAAACAAACGAAATACCACTTCCCAGATCATGCACCATTTTAAAAACTAGACCAAACGATAATTACGGTGTCGTACCGATGATGAGATTGTGCGAGAGATATTTCGAATTCCATGAATTTGTTCGTTTCTTTTTTTTTTTTTTTTTTTTTTTTTTTTTTTTTCCGGTTTTTTTAAAAAAAAAAAAAAAAAAAAAAAAAAAAAAAGAAAAAGAAAAGAAAAGAAAAGAAAAGAAAGCAAAGACTGTAAAAAGGAAGCGTTCGGATTAAAAATGTCGATGGCAATTGAGTCGAGATCCATTTTGTACTTATTTGCGCTGGAACAACGAGATATGAGAAACTCTCGAGTTTCACTCGAGAATATTACGTTAGAATTGCTTGGTAACTGGATGATGTGTAAACGTGTAATGATTAAAATGGTAGTCGCGATAACGATGCTGAGAACAATGCAATAATCATCATGATAATAATGGCGCAATCATGATGATAGTTGACTGTGACAATGGTGATGACAACGTGGATGGAACGTTAACGTCAACACCAATGCCAACAATGACGACTATTGATGACGGTATGGCGCTGATTATCGTGATAGTAATAAAGATAATGGCGACGGTAATGGTGACTATAACGGTGACGATAACGACGACAACGACAGCGACGACGACAACGATGATGATTATAATGATGATAATGATGATAATGGTGATGATGATGGCAATGATAATAATTTTTATGGGAATGATTATGAATTTTCGAAATCGAAAAAATAATTCGCCAATGATATCTTCCAGGCAGACGAAATAAAATTCTGCATCATGTAAGTACGAGAAATGAACATGTTCGCAAGATTTCTTATATATAATCCTACTATATAATTTAAAATACTCATCTAATCAAAGAAACAATTTTCACCTAATAATAAACCTAGCTTTATAAATCATGAGGATACATGCTCAGATAAACATTGTGTTTTTAGTTGTTTCGGTGATAAAGAGGAAGATGCATTAAGTGACATAGTGGAAAGATTTATTTTACACGTATATATATATATATATACATATATACATATATTTATTATACATGTATATGTATAACAATGTTCATGCATACGTATGGTATACCAATTGAACGAATGCGATTTTGATCGACCTACAAAAAAAAAAATCAGTATCACATTCGATTTTATATTACTTGGATTCGTGGAATCCAAGGGACCACGGAGAACTTGAAAAAAAAAAATTTAATCAACGATTCGTTATCGAAATATGTCGAACAATCAAAGTATGAAGGTACAGAGGAATGTTTGAGCATAATGAATGGCCTATATAAATCGATCGATTCTAATATGTATCGTATACGAAAACAATATCTCACGATCGTTCACCAGGTTCAGCAAAAAGAACCAAATAAAAACACGAAGAAAAAGTATACATTCTACTAATTGTGATTGACTTAAACTCCGGGTCCAATAAATGCTGTAGTTAGTGTGTAAGTTTTTACTACTCGTTTATTACAATTTTTTCACAAGATACTCGCTTGTTTGTTCCTTCGTGTGTATATTTTCACATATTTATTTATTTATTTATTAATTTTTTTTTTTTTACTTTTTCACTTTTTCTTCACTTTCATTATGTTATGATAACACACTAAACCGGATTTTTAGATTTAAGTTTAACACAAAGCAAAATCAATAAGATTTGTTTTATGGAGCAAAAGTTTGATCTAAATGAAAATAATATGTTTGTTATGTATTGTGGTTTTTATCGTTATTATTATCACCATCATTATTACTGCTACTATTAATATTACTTATCATTGTTATTGGCATCATCACCATTACTGCTACTACTGCCGCTGCTCTCTGCTATTGTCACATTATCAACATTATTATCATTATCATCATTATCATTCTTATTATTATTAATATTATTATTAATATGAGTATTGTTATTATTATTATTATTATCGTTATTATGATACCGTTATGATTATTGCCATCATCGTCGTAATTATGTATAATATATATATATATGTATGATAATATATATATATATATATATTGTTATTATTATTGCTATATTGATAGATAACTATCACTATTGCATCGTTACAGTCATCATCCCCATTATTGTCGTTGTTTTTATCGTTATTGTTGTTGTTGCTGTTGTTGTTGCATTGTTATTTTTACCATCATTAGCATGATCGTATCGTCATTGTTACCATCGATCGTGAATGATAATTTTGTTGCTTGTGATGAGAGGAAAGTAAAAAAAAAAAAAAAAAAAAAAAAAAAAAAAAAAAAAAAAAAAAAAAAAAA